TGAGCAGGGCTGGGTCTGCGTGGACCAGTTCCTGCCGTGAGCTGTAAGCCTTCCTCACCGCAGCTCTGGGATGCACCGTGACGCTCAGCCTCGGGACGCGATCCCTGCTTTTCCTTTCTGCATGAGAGTACGCTAACTTCGAAAGACAGCACGCTGCTTCACCTGCGACGAGCTCTGACACCAGCAGTGAAAATTGGAGGCACCACTAGAAAGATAACTCAGCTTTTGATCGAGCAAACTACACATGGCCTGGCAATGCAGGAGGTGCCAGGACACCAGCCCTCTTCCAAGAGCAAAGTAAGACCATGCTCCTGGCCGTGACCTGGTTGAACTAGGAAGAAAAAGTCCCAGACATGAGCCGTGGTACTTTACAAGCAAATACCAAATGGGATGGACCCCTTAGTGGAGTGCTCGAGTTTGGGCAGTGGGATGGAGAGAGCTCTGAAGCTGTCGCCTTGGTGCCAGGTTATGAAGAACGTGGCTGAGGGCCCCTTGCCCATTTTTCCCTCCTGTATCTTAGCAGGAACAAGGCCCCATCCCTGGAGTGGTTTAGCACCTTCCAGCAGCCCTTCATGCTGCTTTTAATTTTCTAAATGCGGCTTTTGCAGATTTTTCCCGGAACTGTTTTCTCAAGTGTGTACTCTGATCTTTAAAAAGTATATATTTTTCTACTATTATCAGCACATAATCAACAAGATTGCATGTATAGCAAAGCGAAACCAGCCCCGGGAGGGTACAGAGAGGTACGATTCAGTCCCAGGGGCACCTTTGTTCTGTGTTGGGCAGAAATATTGTCTAGCTCAGCCCAAGCAGAGCTCTCCAGAGAGCGCGATGCCGTTGGGACATATTGATCTCCGGGCTGAACTCAGCATGTCCGTCCCCTTCTCGCTTGGTGCTGTGAGAGCAATAATAATAATCCTTGTGTAACTGCAATGCCTTCACTGAAGCGGTACGCAGAAAGGAGAGCAGCTTCTGGACCAGACCCTTAGACCTGGGCTGGTTTCGGCTTGTGGTCCGTGAAAGCTGTGGATTGCTGTGAAAGGCAAACCAGAAAAGCTTAAACTTAGTCCCCTTAAGTTCAGGGACTCGGCCCACCTCTGTGGTGCTCTTAGGTATTGAGAAAGGTTGAAAATAATTTACTGAGCAGAGCCACTTGCCCCAGAGTAATTAAAATGAATGTGCTTGGGGTGCAGAGAGGAGTTTGCAGATCCTGGCTTGTCTGTCCCTCTCCCAGTGAGGATGCTCAGCTCTGCTCTGTGTAAAACTTGGCTAAGAGAAAGTTGGTCACCGAAAAAGCCACTGACGAGGAGCACACTTTATGATTTAGAGCTGGGAGCCAATTCATATTTTCAGGTGGATTTTTTTCACTTTTTTGGACTTTGTGGCATCTAACCGAGTTGCCAGCCCTCCTTGTTACCCTGAGGCACGCGGCCGTCCTATGTTGTGCTGGCTGGGGAGCAGAGAGCCGATTCTATTGAAACTTCAGGGATCAGAACCTGCAGGTTTCCTGGGCATGCTGGCATCTGATCTGCGGGATGGCATGTGTTGGAGGCCAGCTGGATGGGAGCTGGGCCCGTGCTTTGGTTTGGCATTTGCCAGGTCCCGTGGTGTTTGTGAACTGATGCAGCCGCACGAGCTCTCCTTCCAGCCTGCGCCGGGGAGCAGGTGCCGTGCTGTCTCCGATTTTTTTCTTCTCTTTCCACTTTCCCTTATGTTCCATGTTGGTTTTTTGTTTTTTTTTTTCTTTTGTCTAATGTTTATTTCAGA